TTGAAAGGTTTCTAACAGGAATCACATATCGTGATTTAATTCTTGAGCCTGTCGTGTTACCATATGCGAATGATTTTGGGAGAAACTTCATTCTCATACATGACAATGCACGGCCTCATACAGCCAGAGTGGTAAGTGAGTTTATCAATGCTCATCAATTAAACATCTTACCCTGGCCGGCACAATCTCCTGACCTCAACCCCATCAAGCACGTATGGGACGCGGTCCAAAGAAGAATTTTGAGAATGGGTATGCCTCGTGAAACTCGTAGGGATCTGGTTCGGGCCGTGAATGCAGCGTGGCAGGCTGTACCTCAAGAAGAGATCGACAACCTGATCAGGAGCATGGAGAGACGATGTAGGGCTGTAATGAGCAGTAGATGAGGCCATACCCTTTATTAAGTAAAAATGGTTTTATCTTTTTTTTTAATTCACAGTTTAGAATAAAAAAAAAATGTGTGTATTTTTTGAGTTCAATAAAAATCAAGGTAAATTTGAAAAATTCGGTAAATTTCGCATTTTTATTTCCAATACGTCCTGTAAACTATTTGTTTATTTTAATTTTATTATATCAGAAATGCAAATAATAAAATTACTGACGATGGCTGGATAAAATTGTAATATCCCTAGACTTTTCCGGTGTGTGTATATTACTGGAATAACCGGAAATTATTTTTTAAAAGCTTTTTTCCTATTAATTTAATAACAAAAATTGTGTATTAATTTGTAAAAGATCACCCCCATCCAGTGATGTTTTAACACTATGCCAGTAAAAGTTCCATAACTAATTTTAAAACAAACTTACTAGTGAATGCTAACTAATTATAAAACATCAACAGAAGATTTGTAAATAGGTAACTAGTTAAATTTCGATTCCGGGTATAAAAATTAATCATCAAAACATATTTCTGGATAAAAGCCATAGTGATCTATGTTATAATACATAGGATGGCCATTAGGAATAGTGTAGTAATATTCTTTTAAATGAGAGAAGAATACATATAATTAGGATAACTAATACACTAATACAACAGAAGAATTAAGTTGGTATGGAGTACTTACGGAAGAAACTCAATCATATTCAAATCTAAAATGCCACTTTATCTAAAGAAGAAAACATTCGATGAATGTGTACTACCAGTGAAGACCTTTGTGAAACCTGGACACTTAAAACGGACATCATAAGGAAACTGTAGGTCGCAGAACCAATGGAATGTTCAATGGAACGAAATATGCTGGGAATAACTAAAAGAAACCGTAAAAGAATAGAGTGGATACGACAAAAAAAACAGGTGATAGATGTCATCCCCCGAAAACAAATCCCTCAAGTGGCAATGGGCTGGACACCTCGCAAGAAGGACGTACAACAGATGGGCCACAAAAATTACAGCATGGTACCCACGAGGAATTAAGAGACCTAGAAGAATACTAAACCTTAGATGGGACCATGATATTAGGAAATTAGCAGGGATAACTTGGGCCTGCATAGCCAACGATAGATAACCAATGGGCCGAACTACAAAGAGACTATCTAAATATGTGAGGGAGGCTACAGCATAATTGGAAATGGTTGAAGAAGCTGAAAATGATGATGATGATTCTTTTAAATAATCAATTTATTTATTTTTTATTTTTAAGAACGTCGTGTCTGAAGAATCAACTCATAAAATTTGAAATCCTGTGAATTAAATTTAGAAGATATATCCTGTTGAATGGGGACTAAACATTCTTTTCTTTAGTTATTTGTGCAATATAAAACACAACACAATTTATAAAACTCATTACAAAATATCCTGTATATTACTAAAACGATTAAAAAATAATCGTCTCATTGTAGCAATCGTCACAGATTTATTAGAGATAAACTCTAATCCGCATCAGCTCGAAAAACGTTATTATTTTCCAAATTAATTGTCGATTTTGCTTCTCTATAATGAGATTTCCGAAAGAGTGCCCACGTTAATTTATTTTGAAAACAAAACACCGTTCCAACGTGTAAACATCGAATTGTATTCATTATCTACGCTTGTAACTATTGCCCCCCTTTTTTATTATACTTTATACTGGATCACTTTGTTATTACGTACGTTAAAATTGAATTATACTGTGTGAGATAGAAACTGCAACACTCTGTATCGTCATATTAAAAAAATACATCAAAAAGTACTGATAATTGAAAAAATTGCAAATTGATCGCGATCAGTTCATTTCGCTCTTAAAAATTTACCAATGCACGTATTGACATGAATCAAACAACAAAATGCTGAGAAGTCATGGTTCTGACCGTAAAATTATATTTTAGGAAAATTTACAAACGAAATTATTGCATAGGACGTTTTAAAGTTAAGGATAAAGACAACCCCTCGATTTACCCTGTATAATATGCCAAATACTAAAGTTTATAAAAAACTTAGTTTATGAATTTAAGTTGATATAATTATATAGGTACAGTTTGCTAATTCATGAACATGGGGCTAAAAATAACAAACATATAACACTTTAAAGTTTACCAAAAATATCTCCGTTGGATTTTTTTGCATCTTGAGTTATATTAATGAAGCAAATTTTGTAACTCAAAACTTTTATTTAGATACAAATGAAATATCATTCAGCTCAAATTTGCGAGTTAGTGGATTAGTCCATTTTTCGCGCTGGTAGCCTCATTTAATCGTTGTGTAAGGGATGGTATATAACTCTAACGATTATAAACTGCAACTATTAAAGTTATTTAGTACGACAGGAAATAAGGTCGTACCTCGGACTTATAAAGAAATATTTTCCGATTAAGATTTAATTTCCATTTTTATCTTTTCCGGCTGGGGTTTCCGCGCCGGAAAAGCCGAGAAGGCCGCGCAATATTTCACGGGAAATGCGGAGAAAAATGCACCTTAACCGTGCTCTTTCCCCAAAATTAATTAAGATAAAATTTAAATATTTTTCCATTAATTACGGACCGGGGGACGGCGGGTTAATCTCCAGTCTATTATTTACGACGGTAAAGAGGTGTCGTGGTGCGTCGTTGCCAAATTTCAATAAACATTTCGAAAATTCCTTAGCTGGGAAGAACCTTACGAACTTTTTTACTTATTTTTATCTGCAGAATAGGCTACCGAAGTTTCCCGAATACAATTCGGACCACCCTGTATATTAACTATTATATTCCTTAAATTTCTTAAACTTGGCAACGATGTTTCTTTGTTCCATACTTCCGACGCATCAAAATAAAGCAATTTAGTGTCGCTTCGGCCTCTTATTCATTATTTTAATTAATTTTAAATTGAAACTGCAAAACAAACATCGATCGCCACGTTTTATTTTTAGTTTTAATTAAAAACGGAAAAATAATAACATCTTTCGCCTGCCGATACATCGTCGGCGTCGTCGAGGTTTGCCAGTTGCAAATTTGCGATATTGGAAATGTCATTAAGGTCTAATTAATTACCTGCGCGGGGTAATTATAAAAACGCAATGGTTAATCGAGTTTATATCTGATGTATTGATCTTGTTGTTTCATGTTTTATGTTCTTTTGTAGCATTCAATTACTGCTTGTTAAAGGTAATACATTTTCATTTCATCGTGTATTGAAATCTTCTTGAATCCAGTTTACTTTCGTGTTCTTGGATTAAAAAGAGTAAATCGATTTGAGTTTTCAACATAAAAGAGGAGTATATATTTCATGATAATTTATTAAACAGCCTACACATATCCAACTCGGTTGACTCAACAATCAGGCTAACAAAATTGGATACCGCCTTACTAAAAAATATGTTTATTCCGTCGAAGTTAATCTTTTAAAGAAAATATCTTTATTCCATTTTTAAGATTATAATATTTATTTACCATATTCTTTAACAATTTAGTTTTGTAACGTTTTAATAAAACGATACCATTGGCAACCCAACATACAGCCTACCGAATTAGTTCTGACTGATTTCGGATACTCTGTTGATCGTACTTGCCCTTGTCGGCGCAGAACTAGACCATCTTTTTGACTATCGGAAGTCACCATTTTTGATTCAGATTTCGTGGCTTAAACATCAACCATACTTATCTGAAGTCAGCGGAAAAAGTGTCAACCTTTTTATAATTTCAAACTGGCATTTGGGGAAGGAATCAATTTTAAGTTTTCATGAGTATTTTGGTGATTTTCTAAACGTGGTTTTGGTTGTCCTGGCACGAATTTAATTTTTGAGTAAACCCTCAGCATCGTGAGGGTTTTACCGTCCAGTTACATGGCGAGTTATATGTCATGTTATAAGCATAGAAAAAAACTGACTACGCCACTGGATTGTGCTTAAAAAAGTGCCTTAAGAACGTCTTTACAGAATTTTATTATTCCGCGAATTAAAAAAGTTATCGGCAATTTTCAAAATGGGTAAAAAAATCAAAAAGACCCCGTATCTCAGTTGGCAGTGAAAATATCAACAGGCGGTTTATGCCATTAAAGGTGTCTCAGAAATCGAGCTCATGACATCTATGTCGGTTTTGCTCTATCTAGTCAGGAAATAGGTTTTCTCTGTTAAAACAGACCAATTCCGACCACCCTGTACACTATCAAATATTCAGAATTATATAAGCGTAAATAGAAATTCTCATCAATTTATATTATAGCTAAATAATTATATTAACTCTAAGGTATCTAAAACCATAAATAATGACAGCTACAAAATATTCTCTCCACGTTGTACTGAAGGATTTTGTTAAGCCATGCAGCTGAAGCTTACATTAGAATAATTATAGTTAATATCAGAGTAAAGTTAACGTTTTACAAGTTACAATCAAAGTTTAGTTCATACATTTTGGTTCTCTAAAACTTAATATTTTTTTTTCTATATTTCCATTTTTGATCTGATTGTACTTATTCTGACAGTTGCAGAACCAGGAACGCTTTACCACTTACAGTCGTACCGCTCATTAAATCGAAACACATTTCTCACCTCATTACACACCTGCTGGCCGAACGGACTAGTACAGACATGACTCGTTTACTTACAAATTAAAATAATATTAATAAAAACTATTTTTATTCACACCACAGCAACTGATTGTTCACCGACACGAGTTTCGTCCTCCTCAACCGGAGAAACATCAACACGAAACGAAATTTAAAACAGTGAAAAAAAATCGTCTTTAGATTTAGTCTCTATATACAATTATATATCACAAGGAATGGTAGTTTCAACGGTTATACCAAATGAGTATGACCGAAACTAGTATGAGTAAAGAGTTCCGCGTGGTTTTGCTGGCGCTGTTAAACCTACTCAGTCCCAGGCTCTCCTTCTGCGCAGGACTGCTGCTGCTGCGCGACACTTTACTTCGAGTGACGCCCTCTATGTGGTTGCCGTCGAGCTCGACCAGTGGCGTGCCTCCCGGCCAGCCCTCGGTGCTGTAGCGTCGGTAGTTGCACGTGTCTACGTTGCTGCGCGCGTACGGCTTGGAGATGTTGGGGTAGTGGGACTCGATATCTGTACCCTGGAAATAAATTAAAAAGTGTTAATTAAGATGTAGTATTTTGCAAATATTCATCAGAAGGTATGGTTGATTATTTAAATGCGCCTTTAATAATACATATATTTTAATAACCGGTATATGTAACAGGAAAGATATTTCTCAAAAGTGACTCACCCATGTATAACATTTTTATTTAAAAAAAAAATATACGTGTTTAAGAGTTTATGCCGAAAAACTCACCGGTTTTTAAATAAAAAATATTTTAATATTTGAGGGATAGTTTCACCCCCTTAGAATTCGAGTTTCGAAAAATCCCTTCTTATCGAACCTCTACACCCTAAAGTCAATCTGTTTTCCAAAAATTAGCTTTTTACGTCAAGCGCTTTAAGCAGGATCGTAATTAATCAATGACCAGATTTTTCGAAACACCCTGTATACATTTTTAAAAAATCTTAAAATATGTAAAAAAACAAAATAAAACATACGTGTTTAAGCGTTTTTTCGGAAACTTGACCGTTTTTTAAATAAAAAATATTGTAATATTTGAGGGGTGGTTTCACCCTCTTGGAACTGGAATTTCGAAAAATCCCTTCTTATCGAACCTCTACACCCTAGAATCAACCTGTATGCCAAAATAGAGCTTCTTACGTTGAGTGGTTTGAGCAGGATCGTGATTAATCAGTATGTCAGTCACTTAAGGATTTTATATATTAGTATAGATTCCAAATTTATTGATATTTATTATTACATATACATACATACATATTTTATTTATCTGAAAAAATAAAAGTTATAGGGGTGAGTCACTTTTGGGAAACAACCGGTAGGTATATTACAATTTAAAACTATATGCGATAAAAATATTTCCAGCCCAAAAAATGTCACAGGATATTCAGGATTTTTATAAATATTCCCGAGGATAAAAGAAAAAACCTTATTTGCCCATATTAAGCGCCAAGACAAATATAGGTGTGTTTGGATAAGACCAATCTGCGAAAAACCTATGCAAATTAATTTAAAAGCGCTTACCAGATATTTGTATAAAAATGGGGCAAGGTGGAAGAACAATTATATTTTCCATTATAATATTATAATATTGTCATTGGGATATATTATTTTAACTATGATAGTCTAAAGATAAATTTATTATAATAATAATGGACGCTAGAAGTTTTTTTCTGTAAAAAGGTATTGTATGGATTTATATTGGCAAATCGGCCTAAGGTAAATTTATTTGCATATTATGCCCCATGTCCAATAAATAAAAAAAATAACAAAATAAGACCACGATTATTTAAAAACAATTATTTTATAATATTAAATTAGATAAAACCTTCAATGCTAGTTATATTAGGAATTATCAAATTTTAAAACTATTTAATAAAATAAAATATACATATATTATAAAAATAATATAATGTTTTAGGCAAGAATTGAAAAACAAACAAGATAAATCCATTTATTCTCCAATAGCATTAAAAATAAACCGGCTACTAGTTATTTAATTTAATTTAGTTTTCTATTTTTCCATTCCCTTTTGGATTAACAACAATGTCCGAGTTTTCCATTATTTAATTAATAGCTGTTCCGTGTTTTTTGCGCAAATTTGCTTTATGAAACACACTTTTGCCATTAGACCTATATTTTCAAGCGAACTTGTAACACGAAACTTTTAATTTTAAATTCATTCCTTCTAAATACCAAATAACATTTTTTCTTTAAAATTCATAGAATTTAATAAAATGAAATTAATATTCGGTATATTTTCATTTCAATTTAAAAATTCTAGACGGGAAATTTTAGTAACTTCGTTTATAACGCGAGAAAAATCTCCATTGTTCAGAACTCTCAGGTTTATCTTTTGTGAAACTTTTATTTTGGTACAGCATTATATCAGGTATAAAATATCAACGTTGTAATAATAAACGCTGTCCTGAGGTGGTAAAATATCATTTACATCGTATATCTTTTCATTTTTATTTTGTAATTTTCTTTATTTTCAGTTTGAATTTTGATACCCAATATCTCATACCGAGTGTTTCAAATTCTACTTTCACCAGTCGGATCTCGGAAACAGAGATACAGTATTTGAATTTGTTTGTCATTTCCTTATACAGGGTGAGTCTCTTAAATAAGTGCAAATATTTTTAAGGGTAGTATATTTCGACCCCAGAATCATGATTATGAGGTTTTTTTACGATTTTTTTTTGAAAATTTGGAAGTTTTTTTAAGTAGTTTTTGAATTTTTTTTTAGTTTCTAATTAAAAACCATAATTTCTTCATAATATGGCAACATAGATAGTAGAGAAAGAAAACAAGAAAGAAAACCCAGAAAAGATCCAGTTGTTCTCAAACTTTAACCAAACAATAATTTTTTTTTTAATTTTCAAAGTCAAATAACTCGGTTATTGTGGCCTTTTTAAAAAACGGTAAAGAGAAAATATGTTTTTTTATCGAGATTTACCAGCCCTGAAAATAGTTGCACTTATTTATGACTCACCCTGTATAAGAAAAGTAATGATCATTTGGGAGGTCACATACAAGCTTCTAAAAAATGAAATACAAAATCTAGGTCAGTATTTAAAAAAAATAAAGTTGATTATGGCCTAGAGAAACAAAACATCTTAAGTGATTTTTCACATTTCCAAAGGATGAAGCTAAATAGTTTCTTTGAAAATGTTTTTTTTTTCGATTTTTTCTAACTCTTAAACTCATAAAAATGTAAAAACAAAAACAGGAAATGTGAGTTCTTCCTTCATAAATAATAGAAAATGTGCCAAAATCCGCAAAATAAGAATATACATGGTTTATTAAAATATACGTTCCCAAAATAACGTATAAGTCAATAACATTTCTGGAATACGATATTTAATTCTATAGATGTTAATCTAAAAAACGAAGTTGATGTCTATCACAAATACTTTGTCGTAAAGTTCTTTGTTGCTGTATATTCCTGATATTTTATTAACGATATTGACTTTGTTTTGAAAAGTAATCCACTAGAGGTTATTTTTATTTATAGCCTTACAAAGGTTTTATAAAGGTTGTCTTCTCTGGAAATGCCGTAAATTATTAATGATAAAAATGTATAAATATAAAAAAGTCCCCAATTTCGTACTTCGTAGATATTCTTTTTATCATCAAAAAATAAATAATTCTGTTTTATGTCATTATTTATTATAATTTACTTTAAGTGTGTTTTTATTTACTTATAATGTTTTCTAAATCATGCACTTATTTAGTTAGATTAGAAACTGTTATTCTTCTACAGGGTGTTAGCGTATGAAGAACTCATATGTTAGAAAGAGACAGAGAATATATTTTAAAATCATTAATATGAACTTTTCGAATAAGTGCTATACATCATTGGTTTTTGGACCCTTGAGAAGTTCTTAAAATCCTTCATAAAAATTCAGGAACGTATTTAAAAAAAGAATGTTGACGATCACAGCTTAAAGACGAAACGTCAGTTTGAAAAAACTTTGCCTCCATTTAACTGAACTCGTATCTCGTCTAATTTTCGAGATCCCAATGACGAGGATCGCATTTGGATCACCTTGTATATACATTAAAAAATATAGAATTTTATTCAAGTACATTTTTAAATACAGTAATTAAAGAAAAATAATTCAAAAACGGTTCGCGTAAATATAGACAAACTTATATGTTTGAAATCTGAAAACAAGGATATTTTGAAAAAAAAATATATACAGGGTATTCCAAATTGTTTTTTATTTATTTTTAAAACCTTACGCATTTAAAGTTCTTTTCTACCTCCAATATAGGTAAACCTGCACCATGATCTGCGAAACCCCTCTTTACATTATAGTATACATTTCAGACTTTGTTTGTGCGAATATAGCGCTTTTATACTGGTCCGTTATTGACCTTTTGAACTATCTTGTTACCATCAACAACAGCGTTTAGCCATGTAATCTATTAATACGATTTATAGGAATGTATAATTTATGGGGTTAAGTTTATTGACCGCGGTTTAGTCATAACAGTATGCAAATAAAGTTATCCTGGCGTTGTTTGTTCCGTCAAACACATGATGCGAAAACAATACTAAACTTGTGCTATACTTATACTCTCCTATCTACTTTCTTATACTTGCATTAAAGAAAATATTACAAAAAAATAAACTGGTAGTTAATTGACTTTTTCTAAATTTTCCAGTAAATCTTTGTTTATTCTTGATTTCCAGGAGAATCTAGTTGAGGAATATTTTTGTTCCAAAGCATAAAACTAGTTAGTTAGGCGAAGATTGCAGTTGAAAAGGATAATTCAAGAGAAACAGCATAGTTAATTACTTAAAGCTAGTGAGGTGATTAGAGATCCTTAAATCTCTCGAAACAAGGAGAATGCGTAATTGTATTTTAGTTGGAATAAGCAGAAATGGAGAAGGAAGCAGTTATGGAGGAACTTTTCGAGAAATAGCACTAAAATTTTCATATAGCAAACTGAAAACTTATTTTGGATGTTTCAGTTGGAGTGCTTTCAAAAACGTTTAGTTGGAAAAATAGGTATATAACGTGTAAAAAAATATGATAAGAGGAAAAAATTAGAGTGTAAACATATAATTATAAACTACGAAACATGCCATCATATACCAAAACAGATTTTGCCAACTTCTAAACTGCGAAATAAATCAGATATATTGAACATGGCCATTTTATTGGCTTAATTTTATTAAAACTGTCCCGCCGTATTTTATTTCATTTAATTTTTCGGACCCGATATTTTATTTATCCCAAATAAAATAATTTAACAGTTTAATTATTCTAATAGTTGTTAATAAAACGTTCGAATTTCAACGGAAATAGGTGCGATATAAACGGCAATAATAAAGCATTAAAATATATTAAATTTCACCGGTTTGCTCACGAAAAGAGAATTTATTTAAGTACTGAGAATATTAAATTGGTGACGCTAGAAGTTATTGTTATAAATTATTGATTTCTATATTTTAATATGGGAATAATAATTTCCTATCTATCTCAAGGATTATTGTACTTGATTTTTGACATTTGGTATATTTTAAATGTTTTATATTTTAATTTGTACGTATTGAGGAAATTAATTATATTATCTACAAACATGAATTTAAAATTGGCACTTACCGGAAGAAGCATCAACTGTGACGTCCAACAGATAGGTTTAAACGATCCCCTCATGGTGGCTTCCTGGAAACTCTGGAACTGATTGTCCCAATCGTAGGACACCAGTCTGGATTCCAAAGTCATTCCAGCTAACTCTGGTGGTGCTGCTATCCTTACCGGATTTGATCCCCTGTGAAAAAAAATATAAAAAATGTGTATAATGTACATTAATTATTTTTAAATCTTTTTAGGAACTTCAGCAAATTCCTTAATTTCTTTAATTGGATTTATTTATTAAATTATGTAAAACAAAGTAAAATAATCTCTTATATTATTTGAAAAATGGTATTAGGAATATTTCATTTTATTATTACGTTATACATTTTGGAAACTTACGGACTCAATTCTTGTATCCCCAACGAATGCAGAACAGTGGGCAAACTAGGCAAGCTATGACAGGCCGCCAATGACTTCTGTCTAGGATAGTACAACCCCATCACCAAACACGTCTCCTCCCTGCTCGTCAGTCCCCCCAAAGTAATCGCACTCCTACCCGAACTATTGTACGTACACTCCGTTATCAAGTGGTCACTGGGCAAAATCCTCACCGGTACTTCCAATTTCCGATACTCCTGGTAATCAGAGTCGACGTTATCGTCCGCAGCGATTGGGGGTAGTTCCGTACTTCCCCTGATGTGTTTCAGAGCGACCTGTTTACCGATACGATGCGTTTTCATAACCACCGCGAACATGTTAATGCCCGAATTGGGGAACGCTTGACGCGTGCACTCGGAAACACAGTGACCCGATGACACCACTCTGTTTTGGCCGGGAGGGATGATGTGACGCCAGTTGGGGTCCATACCGATGGAGATGACCCCCGCGTCGTGGCGTCGCAGTTCTGGGGTGTAGTAAAGGCGTAATCCGGAACCGTCTATGCTGCCTACGTTGCTGTCAATCGGGCTGACGTAGTGGGTTTCCATGAGATAGTACCTGAAAAGAGAGAAAGAATACAGTAAAATGTGAGGCAAATATGATATCACCAAACAAAAATTAATTTATTATATATAGGGCTGTTTTGACTATGAACAAAGCAAGACGAAAATTAAATAATTATTAAGATTATTTCTTATTGTACTTACTTATTGTTTGTGTCCAATGGGTAACCAGCCTCAGGAGGAAAACTGAACCCTTCTGATCCCTTAGCCCAGCTAGCTACCACGGTGTTACACATCAGAGGTTCTGAGTGAGACTCGTGACATTGTCTGCCTGGACTATCTGCCAATTTCTCTATTCTAGGACTGTCTTGACACTCGTAGAGTACGACGTGTTGCAGACCGTTGGTACCTGTGACAGCTTGGAGTGGTTCATACTGAAACAAGAAGATTAAGGGCTCATAATGGACAAAATAGTACAGTAAAAGTTTGCGTAGTTAATTAAATGAAATAAAATTTCATTGAAGTGTAAACTCAGAGGCACTTTACAAGGAAAGATTATCTCTATATGACAGTATGCCGCTTCCAATAAGGTAACTAGTTTTAGTTTATTTTTTGCAAACAAATAATAATTTATAAATGAATACCATTAGGCACATAAGGGACTGGAATATAAAATATTTATATTTTATATTCCAATTAAAATGGTTGAATAAGCTGATGATGATGATGATGATGATGATAATATTAACTTATTTTCTTCTTATAAAGTTAATCCTAAAAATAAATTATAAACCATTTAGATCCACTGAAAGTTTGGAAACTTCTATTTTCATGTTTCATAAAAAAACTACAATAAAAACGAAATAAATGAAAAATATATAAAAATAAATCTGAAAGATTCCGACGTATAATAGGGCTGTTTTCCGATTACGTCCGAAACTTGAAAATGTTGTTACTGCGATGAAACATCTCGGAAAACTTTTATGATTTGACCTTTTTCCTTGATGAAAACGGACCCCTCGAGATTGGACGTAAACTGACATAACATTTTCAAAGTTTGGCCGAACGATGGCCAACTAATAAATGATCGACCATAAATTCAATAAGTAATGTCTATACATTTGTAGAGAGTCCACTTCTGTGAATTTCTGTAAAAATCTAAACTGTAACTTGTTTTTTGAAGATTTATAATATAAGATTAATTTATTTTATATTTAAGATTTATAGTATGAGTCTGTTTTCTTTAAAAAAATAAAAATAAAATCAGAGAAAAAAAAATGGTGCTTTGCGGTCCACTTCTATCGTGTTCTCTTTGTCTTTGAAAAATCTAAACTGTAACTTGTTTTTGAAGATTTATAATATAAGATTAATTTATTTTATATTTAAGATTTATAGTATGGGTCTGTTTTCTTTAAAAAAATAAAAATAAAATCAGAGAAAAAAAAATGGTGCTTTGCGGTCTACTTCTATCGTGTTCTCTTTGTAAGTAAGAGCTTTCGAAATATTCCTTTATCCGATTTGAAAGTCTACTTTAATGTTTAAAATACAGCAATATTTCAATAGATCTTTCGATAAAATATTGTTTCTATACTCGCTTGAAGAGACTTTGAAGCAGCTTTCTGATGGTTTATGACTGACTGCTGAATCAGAAAATGTACATTATTTCTATTAAAGCAATTATTGTAATAAAGGCTGTAGATACCTTCCGCGTTTCAAGACGAGTAAGGACTATATAAGGAAAAGGAAATTTAGATACATCTCGGAAAAGTTTCAGGATAGAAGAGTCCTAAAAGTTAGACGTCATTCCACAATACATTGATGAAAGTATTTAATAGAAGATTAGAAAAGATGCAATTAATTGAGACGATACTCCAGTAGCTTACGTTCATGGAAGATCATGTTCGTCATTATAATCACAAATAGTAAAATCAAACACTAATTCACCACAATTCACCAAAATTATTTACTTTTAACACTTGGTCTTTTCATTTTTAGAACTTGGACGCGCATTTTGCTCACCATCCATGTTAATATCATCAGCAGATTATTAAAACTGATAAGGATACGTTCAGATGAAATGGCCAAAACAAGGCTCATCAATACGATTCATAGGATCAGAACAATTATAATGATACTCGCGAGCGTCAAATGATCAAGGAGATACGCGACAATAGAAAACATAATGGGATCAACGCTGAATAAGATGTTGATATACAATAAGAATTTCTAGTCCAATGAAAAAAAAGGTTAAAAAAGTTTAAATAAAGCCCTAAGAGAATTGAAATTTGTCCTTTAAAAAACCCCCAGCGAAGAAAGAGAAGGAAGAAAAATTTGCAATGCAGGAAACCCATTTCATATTCGATCGCGGTATTGTGTCGTCCTGTTCCCTGCTGCGAGAATCGCGGACCTTTTCCCCATTCCCTCGGGAACCGGTGACCCGCCAGAACAAAATATAAAACTTTCGTCGAGCACCGGGACGGGATGCGCTTTTATTATTTTATTGGCTTTATTTCGCTTGTTCGGATTTGAGGCATTTCGAATAACACTTATACTTTGCAACGATAGGAAGCGTAGAGGGCTTTCCTTTGCGCAGAGCTTTGCGGTCTACTTCTATCGTGTTCTCTTTGTAAGTAAAAGCTTTCGAAATATTCCCTTATCCGATTTGAAAGTCTACTTTAATGTTTAAAATATCTAGCAATATTTCAATCGATCGATTCGATAAAATATTGTTTCTATACTCGCTTGAAGAGACTTTAAAGCTGTTTTCTGATGGTTTATGATCTATGATTGCTGAATCAGAAAATGTACATTATTTTATTAAAGCAATTATTGTAATAAAGGCTGTAGATACCTTCCTGGTTTCAAGACGAATAAGGACTATATAAGGAAAAGGAAATTTAGATATATCTCTGAAAAGTTTCAGGATAGAAGAGTTCTAAAAGTTAGAGATCATTCCACAATGCATAGATGAAATTATTTAATAGAAGATCAACTTCAAGAACAAAATTATACAGAGGGTTCAGTCTCCAAGTTATTAGGCTTTTTGAAAAATATATGACTGGAGAATTTAACCTAGAGAACAGAAGATTATCACAGTAGATGTGAAATGGTCGTAGCAGAACAGGCTGTAACAAACTCAAATAGCTAATCTAGGAATAAGATTTAATCATCTGCTGGAGATGCTAACATGGTAAGCAAAACGCGCGTCCAATGTTAAAGTGTTCTGAATTAGTGTGGTAAACTATTGTTACGCCAACGGTATCGTAATTATAACAGTATCCACATAGAATGTAGAGAAATTAAAATATGTGAATTATATGTTTTTCAAATCAATAATTAATTAATTTCTAAATATAAAACATATGCATATGCAAAGGAGTACGACGGGGAGATCCAATATCCTCAAAGCTGTTTACAGTAACACCAGAAGAAGTCTTCCGTCAACTAGACTGGACAAAAAAGGATTAAAAAGAGATGGAGAATATCTCAACCATCTAAGATTCGCTGATGACATAGTTCAAATAGCCAATAGTCCTGAAGAACTACAAATACAAATTAATGAACTAATTAATTCTAATTAATGAAATTAGCAGGGATAACTTGGGCCTGCATAGCCAACAATAGACAACAATGGGCCCAACTACAAAGAGAGTATGGAAACATGTGAAGGAGGCTACACCATAATTGGAAATGGTTGAATAAGCTGAGAATGATGATGATAAAACATAATATAATATATTACACAAATTATGTACAGAATATACACATATATTATAAAGATATGGGTTCGTCTTCATCATTCGCAGCATCATTTTACCTTTTTTTTTAATTGTATGTGTTTCAATGTCTTTATCTCTTCAGGTAAATTTTTGTATCTTGTTGTAGTGAGTCTTTGTGTTAGTGTCTTATATCTTTCTTTACTTTATTATTTTGATGCAAAAGGATAGTTCCAATCGAGGAAAATGGTCCAATGGATTCGCCGTGTCAGCAGGCGAATATCGACCGGCAGAATTCCAGTTTGTCTTTCGGAAAAGCGTTCGTTGCCGAGCGAGCCATTTTCGCTTATGCAGCTACTACAAATAGGTTTATTTTCGGTTCATTACGTCGTTATTACGGTAGGTTTTGCTGCACTAAATCCCCACCGTAACCTTGTCTCGAAAACAAATTTCATTTCGAAAATTGATTTATTACTTTTTTTGGTTAGGTATTGCGCGACGTCAGATGGGCTTACCGACGAGGAACTGCCTTTAATTAAGTTTTAAATTAAAAACTATCGGTAAAAAAATTAATTAGGTAGGTACTGTGAGGTCTAGAGGAAAAGCTTAGAAAGGTGCTATGGTTTCATGTAGTTGCGTCATAGAAATTAAGTTATTTAGGTCATTTATAATCAAACTCTTGTGGCACGTTATTAAACACAATTTTAACAAAACTATTTATGTCGAAATAAGAATCAAATTTAAGATTTTCCCTGCAAAGGTACTGCCTCATTTAGCCAGTGTCTTGACATCTACATTTGTATGGAACTGATACGGAATAGAAGCTTACGTATAGTGTCAATACAATAAAAAATACGGAACGGATATGGAATAGAAACGGTATAGTGAGAATCAACCTTAATTTGGACTAGTAAGAAGTACTAAAGTATATTTAAAAGGGTGGGATAACTGTCAAAATTGTGGTGAGCCTAATAGCAAAGCATTGCAAGCTTAATAGTTAGTTAAAGCTAGTAGGATTGACGGGCAAAATCATGTGCAGATTTTGACAATCAGAAGAAGAAACGCTACAACACATTCTATGTCACTACAATAGCCCTGCATTTAGGCAATGATAAGCTATTAGCAAAAAGCAATACAGAAAGTTCAGTCTCAGAAAATACAGAAAGATCAGTCTCTCATTAAATATTTTGATTGGATGAATGTAATGGGAGAACGTAACCTAGAGACTAAAAGAAGACTTTAATAGGCCTGTAAAGGTCATAGTGGAATAGCTTTATGGCTAGATACCTCAAAAAATCTGTTCTAGTGTAAAGAATAAGTTGCTAATATTTAATTAAATCCAAAAATACTAACTAAGTGAAACAAACTCTTCAAACTAAATTTCTCTAGCTTAATATAACCTGCACTTATATTTCTGAAGAAGTTACCAAACTAGCACAACCTGTTGAAACTAAATCTAGCTTAATTTGTACTGCTCTTATTGAATCTTGCCATAGATCTTTGAATATGTAATGATTCATTATCTCGTCTGTGCTATATAATTAAAGTATTACTGTTTCTCGTAATCTGAAATATGTGGGATACTCATTAAGGTTGCCGAAATTTTACCTCTGCTTTATAAACCGGCTAAATAGAAACAACTAATTACGTTGCCGCAGACTAAACATTAATAGGTAACTTCCTAGCGATTAACCAAAATATGTGAATTCAAAGGCGCG